AGCAATTGTACTACTGGGTATTTACCCCAAAGATACAAATGTAGTGATCTGAAGGGGCACCTGCACCCCAATGTTTATAGCAGCAATGTCCACAACAGCAAAACTAGGGAAAGAGCCCAGATGTCCATCGACAAGTAAATAGATAAAGAAGATATATATACACACACACACACAATGGAATACTACTCAGCCATCAAAAAATGAAATCTGGCCATTTGCAATGACGTGGATTGAACTAAAGGGTATTATGCTAAGCGAAATAAGTCAATCAGAGAAAGACAATTATCATATGATCTTACTGATATGTGGAATTGAAGAAACAATGCAGAGGATCATAGAGGAAGAGAGGAAAAAATAAAACAAGATGAAATCAGAGAGGGAGACAAACCGTAAGAGACTCTTAATCATAGGAAACTAACTAAGGGTTGCTGGAGGGGTAGGGGGTAGAGGGATGGGTTTACTGGCTGATGGACATGAAGTAGGTCACATGATGTAATGAGCACTGGGAATTATATAAGACAGATGAGTCACTAACCTCTACCTCTGAAACTAATATATATTATATATTAACGGAATTTAAATTAAAAAAAAAAGAATCACTTGCTCAATAGAACTCCTAAACACTAACAGACTTATTTTAAGTTGAAGGAAATTCAATTTCTTTACCTTGAATTTTCTTGGCCAACAAAATGAAGCAATTAATGCTATTGGAAGCCCTGCAGTCAAAAGATAAATGAGCCAAAGCCATGGGCGCTCTTCAGCAGCTACCACTAACTGTTTAAATATACCAGGCTATAGAAGAAGTAAGCATAAAAATGAAATTCAGATTTTATAAACATTTTTTAGGAAATACCACCTACAAAAAAACAGCTTATTTTAGATAGGTGTTTTATATTAAGGAGTGATGAACTTGTAGGCTAAAAATATTTTATTTTCCCATCTTATCCACTGTAGAGTTTAAACTCTATTAGCATGTATCATTGTTTGAGACTTTGTAGTAGAAGATATGTTACTACATAGGTAGAAATGACTAACCTATCACCAAGAATTATGACAATTTTATTTTTTTGGTAAACTACTCTTTATGGATGTATTATCTTCTTCATTTAGAAGTATAAATGCTCGATAACTCATTTTGGTTCTGTACTTTTAAAGAACCTGGGAACTACTGTGTTTTCTTTTTTTTATTAACAAATTTCACACACAACCTGTGTGAGGAAACAGCTTCTCTCATTAAAATGAAATCTAAAATCATTAAATGTCTAAATTTAAAAAGTTTCAAAATGAAAACCCCTTTACCTAATCTTTTGATAGTTTTTGCTAATGTCCAAAGAAACCAAATCTAAGGTATTTTCCTTTACAGTAACTGATTTTAAAGATACATTCTCCAAGATGCATTGTGTTGAAATATTTAGCTTAGTATTTCTAAACAGTGTTAAGATTTGAGTAAAAAAATACTGGAACACAATTTAATAATAATACATTTTAAAATCCTCTGTACTCCTGTAAGTGAAACATAATTAAAATGAGTAAAGAATAATATTTACATTACTGTTAACCACTTAAGCTGTGAATTAACAAGGTGACCAGGATATTAAGTAGTCTCCTTATAAATAGCAAGTAGGCAATTAAATCCCATTATGCTATCATAATTTAATGAAGACATACACATATATATAGTTCATTATACAGTTCATGATGAAGTTGTACCATAATATAGTAAGGCTAAATATTTTATCGACAAATTTATTTAAGTACATTTACTAATTATTGCATATTTATTTACCTCTTAAGGGCCATTGTATAACCCATAACCAGGATGAAGTCCTATGACTACTCTATGGTAAATACTGTACCTCGTTAGCATTTGCTACCATTATCTTCACTCCCCAACCATCTGCAGCCCAGCGATCTGCTATTTCCTTTTCTGAACAGATAATAAAATTATCAAAGTAGATATCAGAGGTCATAGACCAAAGCTCTAAACCAAGAGCACGGAAAGAAGTCAGAAGAAATGGATGATCATCTTCAAAATAATCTGGATTAGGAATTTTTCGAGGACTCCAGATTCCCTGGAAAAAATAATAAAGAAAAAATAATTTAAAGACACTTTCAAATAAAATAATCCCATTATAAATGCTATTCAAGAAGTCATTGTTGTGGATGGAGCGCCTGCGTGGCTTAGTTAAGTGTCCAACTATTGATTTCGGCTCAGATCATGATCTCAGAGATGGGAGATGAGCCCCATGTTGGGCTCCATGCTGGGCGTGGAGCCTGCTTGAGATTCTCTCTCTCCTTCTCCCTCTGCCCCTTCCGTCTCTCTCTCTCTCAAAAAAAAAAAAAGAAGAAGAAGAAGTCATTGTTGTTGAATGAAATCAGCACTACTAATTGGAGAAAAAAGAAAGCATTAACTGATATTAACTCATTAGCAAGTCACTGGAAATAAAAACTTGGTTCTTCTCATTCTGTACACAATGTTCCCTATGAATAAAACTGACTTTAAACTGCAAAAATAGGCAAAGTGAAAACCCAACACACACAGAAACTTGAGTAACTAAATTTCACAAGTAAGTGATACTATTTTAGACAAGCTTTTTTACATTTAGTAAAGTTATTCAAGGCAAGAAGTCATTAAAATTACACAAATCAGAGAGAGCACTGTATGGTAAATATGAAGCCATTCCTTTTATTTTTTAAAATTTTTTTATAATGCACTTTTATTTATTTATTTGAGAGAGAGAGAGAGAGAGAGAACATGCACAAGTAGCAGGGAGGGGCAAAGGGAGAGGGCGAAGCAGACTCCTCACTGAGCAGGGAGCCCCATGCAGGGCTCAATACCAGGACCCTGAGATCATGACCTAAGCTGAAGGCAGAGGGGAAGCCACTCCTTTTAACATATACCCATGATGGGCATCAATTATCAGTCATGGCTGAACCTCAGAATAAAATTCAACATAAAAGTTCCATTAGATCTTAAATGATTAAACTCAATCAAATCAAAAAAATTTGACAATATGATTACTCATTCATTCCTCCATCATATATGTCTATTCTGTACCAGGCACTATGCCAGATGCTAGGGACAGAGTGATGATCAAGAGAGACATGGTTCCTTGATTAAATTTAAAGTAATGAGGGAGACAGACATTCAACAAAGACGTTACCAAAATAAACACTCTGTGATAAATGCAATGAAAAAAAAAACTAAAGTAAACAACTGGAATACGTAACTGCATCCATATAATAAATATTAGAAAATGTCAATGAATAATTAGATAAAACTACAGGGTTAAATGGATAACCTAGAGATTTCTACCCAAAAATCTAGGTACACTCAAAAGATATCTAATTCATATTTTAAAAAATCCAAAGTTTAATGACACCAGAAAATAAGGAGCACATTAATTCAACACAGGAATTAATTACTAAAATGTACAATGTGAGGTCTCCTGATCAGAACTCATTTCTTATGTTTAATTCTAAAATAGAACTTGATTCCAGAGTGATCATCAATTACCAGGGAAAAATACAGTATGAAGTGTCTCATCTTTAGTTCTTAATATTATTCCCCCAGAAAATTACATAAAGAATACTTTACTATTTTTTTTAAAGTAAACTCTAGGCCCAACGTGGGGCTTGCACTCACAATGCAGAGATCAAAAGTTGCATACTCTATGGACTGAGCCAGCCAGGTGCCCCAAGAATACTTTACTTTTTAAATATAAATTAGTTGGAGTCCATTTTCTTTGACTTCTTACGATAGTTAATGCATACTATTACAAATCAAATTTCTAAAAGTTAACATAACATTATCAAAACTAGAACTATCACAGCACTTTAAACTTTACTATGCAGTTGTAAGAAGTGGTTATTACCTGGTAGTTAGGATTATCTATCATTGGAGGTCTCCACACTCCTTTGTATTTGGGGTTATCTATCAGGGGAGGTGTCCACTCACCACACCCAATTCGACATGCTGGATTAGAAATACGAGGCGCCTCCCATTCTCCATCCATGTCTTCATTCCTTAGGAAATTAGGAAAAAATTCAACATAAAAGTTCCGCAGATGAAAATGTGTATCTGCACATTTATAGTAACCTCAAGTATAGTAACCTCAAGTTTCTCCTGTCAGTCATATGAACTAGTAACAAAAAGCAAGAAATGTATGAAATTGACATGTGAGGATGAAGAATGTTTACCAGTCATCAGGTTTTTCAGCATTAGGATCTGGAATAAATTTTGGTTCATCATCAAGCCAGCCATCAGGTTTAATAACACTTAAATCTTCTATTTGGGCAGGTTCACTTTCATCCCTGCAAATACAGTATTTTGTGCCAAGTATTAATTATTCAAAAGGTTTAAAAATGCATATGTTACAAAATTCAGAAGATACCAAAAGGCATCTCCTACCCTTCTGTCTTTGTGCCTACTACCTCCCCCATCTCTCATCCACCAAAATCTTCTGCTAACTTGTCACTTTCTTGTATATATTCCCTGTTGTGATCCATGCATACACACATATTTGTATATATTCTTTTTTTTAAAACACAAAGGATAGATTTCTATACAGAGTATGTTCAACATCGCTTTTGTTCACTTAAACACTCATTCATTCATCAACAAACACATATTGGAAGCCCACTATGTGCCAAGACAGCTTTACAAGCTGTTTTATATACAGTTATTAACAGTTGTACAGTTTTCTAATTTGTGGATATACCATAATTTATTTAACCCAATTACTGTTGAGGGACATTTAGTGTTTCCAAAAAGGTACTATTACAAATAATGCTATAATGAATATCCTGGAATATATTAGGAACTAATACAAAATTATCTCTCTGTCAGCTATATGAATTGAAAATATTTTTTCCAGTTTCTCATGTACTTTTTGATACGGTTTATGGTAGGTGGGTTTTTTTTTCTGCCATATTCAAATAATTTATTTTCATGTAGTTGAAATTTATTGATAATTCTTTTATGATTCTTCAATTTTACATCATATTTGGAAACGTCTTCCCTACTCCAATATTATTTTTTTAACTCACCATATTTAATTCTAGTAATTTTGTATTTTCATTAAAAAAATAACATTTAGAAAACAAATTCTTAAGTATATAAACATAATCATAGTAAGTACTGAATAGAACTTCATCTTTATAGAAAAGTAGAAATTTTAAACAAAAGGTTACATTATGATTTTTCAAACAAACCTAAATAACAAAATAAACTCAAATAATCAACTCTCTATATGTAAAGACTTGTACTTGCCTGATATCAATGTCATCTGGAGTCTGTCCGAGCTCCAAGTAACTAGAGTTTAAAATTTAAGGGAACATTTCTTCTACCAGTTTATGAAACAAATTCTAACATGTATCACCAATCAGAGAGAGGTTATTATAAGCAGTTTATCTCATTTAAGGCCAAACTTATGTCTCAGCCTTACTCTTTTTGGGTAAACAAATATGAAACAATGTAAGAAAATCCACATGGAGAAATGTAGTCCTACCCTTTCTGAAAGTATGAATTCATTAAAGTTATGTATTAAGTGACTTTTTATTAATTTTTTTAAAAATCATACTGTTGTTCCTACCTTGTAAAACCTGCTTCCCTATCATACTATTTGCTTGAAAGCAAAGACATTTTTATTAGTAATCAGTATCTCTCTTTATCTACAAGAGAGTTAACAAGTAAACATCTTTGGTTATCCAGTACTACTTACTCTATTTCTGAGTAGGTAGTAACCCCAATGTTTACAAACAAGCAAGAACTTAAAGAAATAGGAGTAGACATTTTCCAAAATGAAGCAGAGAGAAAAAAATTGATTTTAAAAAATGAATTGATCCTAAGTGACCTGTGAAAAACTATAAAGCAGTTTAACATACATTTATGTGGTGTCCCCAAAAAAGAGATGGGAAGGAACATATATTCAAAGAAATAATGGCCAAATATTACCCAAATTTGATACAAACTACACACCCACATCCCAAAAAGCTCAAAAGCAAGGCAAACACACACACACACACACACACACACAAACTCTCACACACACACACTCTCACACACACCCAAGGCACAACAAAACCAAATTGTTGAAAACAGTAACAATGAATCTTAAAACCAAACAGGAAAAAATTACATATTAGGTCAAGGAGTAAAACGATGAGAATAACAACTGACATATCAGAAACGATATAAGCCTCAAGACAACTCAAGAAATGATTGTTTTAGGGGCGCCAGGGTGGCTCAGTCATTAGGCGTCTGCCTTCGGCTCAGGTCATGATCCCAGGGTCCTGGGATCAAGTCCCGCATCGGGCTCCCTGCTCAGCGGGGAGCCTGCTTCTCCCTCTCCCACTCCCCCTGCTTGTGTTCCCTCTCTCGCTGTGTCTCTCTCTGTCAA